ACGATTAATTATAAGAATATTGACTTTAGAAAAAGTCTTAGAAGTGATTTTTGAAATTAATATTGCAATTTATTTTTAATTTATGATCCTCATAATTTTGAAATTTATTTATATATTTTCAACACTATTTTAATATGATTTTATAATTCAGGAAAGAAGAAAAAAAAAACAGAACCGATCGGTTATGGCTCCTTTTTAATATGTATATGCACATTGTCCAATCCTGTTCAACATTATAATGTTAATTTATCTTAGACTATATGTATATATCTCACTTGTTCATTAAATCGATTACACCCGTCCAAATTTAGTACAGTTTGATACAATTGGTGAAATTATTAACTCGAACATCAATTAGTAATTAATAGACAGGTTCGTGTTTTTATATATTGATAGGGTTAGGTTTTACCCAAATAAAACTACTGTAAGTGCACAGCAAAAGCAGTTGTAGTACAAAGGGTTATCGAATCCCAAGGGAGTAAGTAAACTACATTAAAGAGTTCAAGTTCGGATTAAGCTAAGCAGAATGTAATGAATGTAATGCAAAATAACTAAAGTAATAAAAGCAAGTGGGCGTTTTTGAGACTGTTCTTAAAGTTCAGAAAGCTAAATGCGCTAAGTCAGGACAGTTCGCAGGTTGAATCCGAGAGTATAGAATGCATGCAATCAGGAATGAATTAAAACCGTCTTGAACATGAATCGCAAAGATATAACTAATCAATTCTCATTGCAGAAGTTATCTATGTCTAAATCACAGAGTTTCAAATCTCTTTGCAAACCCTAACAACCTAAACATGCAGTAAAGATCAGGTTCAATTGTTCACAAAACTCCTAAGCCAAATCTCTTTGTACTATGGCGTTTTGCTCATCTAATACTAGTTCAGGTGATTAATAATGCTCTCACATCTATCAAACAACCTAGGGTTTCGAAATCCAGATGATGTGTCTAAAAAATCGATATGAATGCAAGCACAGATGAAGAACCACTGAATTTTCCTAATAGTTTAGCAATTCTATAAACTCTTCTTCAACCTTTGAAAAGCCCTAACTTAACTAACAAAATACTCAGACATGGTGATTTGAGAAAACATCATGAAAAGAATAGATTGTATAAAAGAAATAAGAAGTAGAAATAAAGGAGTTCAAAATCTGCTATGAAGGAGTCTGATTTGTCTCTCTAAAAGCTCTGCTACAAATCTCTCTCTAAAGCTCTCAAAAATAATAAGATACAAGATATCTGCCAAAAGAATGGCTGAAAAACCTAATATACAAACTAAAACACGATCTGGGGCCTTTTTGCAAATATTAGAACTTCTGGGCCAAAACTGTAATTTCTTCCCAATTTTTTAGAAAACAGCCACAACCTCCTTCCTTGGTGGGTGACGAGCGTCACCAGAAGTGGTGATGAGCGTCACCCATATGCATACTTTTCTTCCCGAGCTTGATACTTCGTGGCTTCGACTCATAATGCTCCAAAAAACTCTAATATCTCCAGTTATGCTCCAGACATGCTATAACCTGCAAAGACTCTTTTAGGACTCTAAAAAGACCAAAAAGACTTAATAAAAGGAACTTATGTCATGGTTAAAAACCATAAAAACCATGGTATATCATATATACTGGTGTTTATGCGAGATTTTTAACAGATTTGTTGTATACATTTTTTTATTCATCTAGTCATCTGGCTTTCAGTATATGTTATTTTTAGTGTTGTCAAAAAAAGAAAAAAAATGTTATTTTAATAACCTAATAAGTTGAAGGGAAAACAAGGATGACTTACTGTAACAATGAATTGAGACTGAAATCAAACTTAGAGGCATAGTAACAATCATTTAAATGATCCATGTGAAAGCCAATGTTAGATATTACTCCATTATACTTTGTTTGTGGGAAAAGTTACCCTTTATACAAAAGCATGATTTTATAATGTCTAGAGAATGAGTGCTGACTTAGTTAGACCGTCCAAAAATTCAGGTGCAATTAGATATATGTAAAAATCAACATTGTATAACTTTCTAATATATATCATTGGATACTGCACTGTGCAGACGTCTGCAGAGTTGGCCCCAACTTTAAAACTGATAATATAAGAAAAGGAGGAAAACAACCTTTAAAAAATTTCTTGCTTCAAGTCAGGTCCATGAAATGGAAAGTCAATGGTCAAACATATCACAGCTCATATACAGACGAGATAAAAGGGAACTATAAAAAGAAGATATAATCTCACGGGCAGTTTAAAGGACTTTGGTTATAAATGTATTTTAATGTCAATATGTTGTATGCTTTTTGAAAAGGGAGAAAAGAGTTCTAAAATGAAAGAAATAATGTAATAGAAAAGAGAGGGTCGGTCATTGCCACAATTAAGCGGAAGTGGAGAATGGTTGGTATTTGTTGTGTCCTTCAAACCTCAAAAGCTTTTCTTGTAAGATCTTTTTGTTTTATTTTCAGCAGAGTACTAATAAAAAGAATTGTAGGTATTTTGTAATCATAATTTGTAAGATTGAAAATCGACAATAATTTTTTTTTAAAGCGTGTATGTATAATTATTTTTATCTTTTTAAAAGACTTGAGTCTTTAGCACTTTTGTGCAGAAATTTTTTTTTTTTATCATGGTACACTTAATCAAATTCAATAATTGTCTCTAAAATAATGAATCCACAGAGAGTCGAATACAAAATTTGTATAGTGGCTGTGTATTTCAAGACTTTATATATGTTTTTTGGTTTGTTTTGGGTACAAGATTTTTAATTAAAAATATATTAATTCTTAATGATACGTGCGTCCTTGTAAACCAAAAACATGTGGTGTAGTGATCTGTTCCAATGAAAATGGATTTGTTATGTAAATCTTGGCCAGCGAACAAGTTACAAAAATTACTCAACCTTCTACCAAAAATTAGTTTGAAATTCGGTTGAACGTAAAAAACCGTAGTTCCAAAATATGAACTCGTTTTGTGGATCATGTTTTGAAGCTGTATCACTTGTATATATATGTTGTTTAACTAATTAACCACAACATTAAATTATGAGGAACCAAAGTTTGTAATAAAGCCTGAAAACCATTATTCCGTAACAGAGGAAATAAATCATGAAAACGAAATAAATATTTGCATGTGTATACGAAAACGTGACACTTGTCTATGCAACTTGTTTCTTTAGTTGCATGATATCACTTTAATGTAAAGTCCTCCGAAACAGTATTGGATTCTTCGCTATAAAAGACCTCATGGTGATTACTGATTAGAGAGCCTCGGATGTGAATTTGAATCATATACTTTAACATATATACGCACAAAAATATACGTATTTTATATATGGAACTGGAATAATCAAAGTATTCAAATCTGAAAACAGTAGAATATCACTGGCAAAGCAAAATATTAGTTAATTTCCAGCATATTCTTGAATTTATGCCTTGTTAATGGCTAATATTAAACAGTTTTTTTTTTTTTACAAGTAGGTGTTTTCATTGTCTATTTCTATTTATATAATTATATATATGAATTCTATCGATTTTGAAAGTTATGATATGCCGGCAACACGAACACGGATCACTAATATTACAAATCTTGTACCAATTTTTTAATGTTAATTTATATTATAATGTTAAAGATCTACCAATTAGATAATTATTCATCTTTCTATTATGTTGACTTTTCACATCGCGCATGTAGTTTTGGTTTTTACAAGTCGACTTGCTAGTCCAAAAGTGTTATTATATATGCTCGAGCGAGGCATGGTGTCGCTGAAATCCTTCCCGAACACATTCTAAAGATATCAGTTATACATTTATTTATATAAGATACGTAGATATAGTATATAGTTCTTATAATATATTCCTTAGTTATTAACCGACAAAAAAAACATAGCTTATTTATGATTCTATAGAAAATGATTTTAAAACGTCAAAAAAGTAATTAGTAACAACAGTTAATTGGCTATTTTGCGAAGCCAAAACTACTATGAATAGAAAGAGGAGGAATCAGTAGGTCTAGATTAAGCGAATGTTCAACTTCATTTTTGTTTTAGTCAACAAAGTTAATTTCATTAAGTGGAGGGTTTGATTCCTTCCAATTTCCATCACCTTTATCTTTCTCTCAACTTTTTTTTTTGGATTTACTTGCATCCTTCTCCATTAAACAAACCAAACCCAAATATATTGTATACTTTTATTTATTAATATGCTGACTACGTGTTAGACTGAAAAGTAATTTATATGTGAAACAGTTATTCTCTGAAATCTGAACTATCTTGGAGAATTTAGTGTTCATTAAAATGTAAATGTTAACGAATAATATGATGTGAGTAATCGATATTCAATCGATTCTAGAAAAAATGTTATCATTAAGACACTAACCTGTAGAGAATAAAAGACAAAATCAATTTTAGATACGTGACACTGATATTGAAACCCCGTTTAAATTCAACTTGCATATTAAGTAAAGGCAAACAAACATGATTGATTAGTCTTTTTATTCCACCACTATATTACTACTAGCTTTTTAAATTCTTGGAATTAATATCATCTTGAGTGCCCTAAAAACAAAGAAATAAAGCCTTTTTCTTAAAAAACAAAGAAGGGAGGAGCAAAAAAATAAGTTCATTTCCTAAGAAGAGCATAAAGAGAAATTGCAACATGAAGTCATTTTCTAGTATTAAAGAGGGCCCAAATTCTCCTTTCTTCTCACCCAATTGGACCTTTTTTATCAATCCCCTCTTCTCCTTAATCTCTTTAAATTCCACTAATACCCTTCTCACTTTCACTCTTATATTTCCTCATAATTAAACCCTTTTTCACTTCTTCTCCTCAAAGTTTGAGAGAGAGAAAGAGAGAGAATGGTGGGTTCTTGAAGCTTCTCACATTTTTTCTTCTCTCTCCATCGTTTCAAGAAATCAACATATCATTTATTTCTGTGTGTGCGATGATGTTTTCTTTTACTGAGATATATGTCTTTTCTCAAAGTTTTAGTGTTCTTTTTTGTTCTTTTGCCCATATAACAGGAAGTGGAAGAAGAGGTTTCAAGATGGGAAGGCTACGCCGATTGGAGAAACAAAGCCGCCGTGAAAGGCCGTCACGGTGGCATGCTCGCCGCTTCTTTTGTCCTAGGTTAATGTCAAAATTCCAAATATACCCCTCCTTTTCTCCTCCCTTTTAAACTCTGATCATGGATCATGTGATTAACTATATAAGTCTATAACCTTTTTTTCCCTTATGAAGTGGTGGAGATATTAGAGAATCTAGCGTATCTGGCGAATGCAAGTAACCTCGTGTTGTACCTAAGAGAGTACATGCACTTGTCTCCATCCAAATCGGCCAATGACGTCACCAATTTCATGGGCACAGCTTTTCTCCTAGCTCTTCTTGGCGGTTTCCTCTCCGACGCTTTCTTCTCCACTTTCGTCATCTTCCTCATCTCAGCCTCCATTGAGTTTCTGGTAAAACCTACTTAACACACTCTTTTAATGATGTTTACTTGGTTCTTTTACATTTGTTAACTCTTCATAGCTTGAAGAATTTAAACTAAAGAAAGAACAACAATTATGGCTCTAAATTTAAAATCAAACCCCCATCTAAAAATTCAGAAATATAACAAACTGATCCGTTAGAAAATTAACAAATTACTTTTTTGTTTTTTTCCCCAGTTGTATCTTTCGCTTAAGTTCTAAGTTATTAGGGTTGACTTTTTTTAAACGACTAGCCACCAAAACAATAAATCCATTCACATTATATAACAACATATAAGACCCAATTTGATTGATAGATCCACATGCATATCTATCTACTTATCTATATATTGATTATATATATATTTTTCATCAAAAGTAGTAGAAAGAAACTTATGCATATGAGAAAAATATGGTTACAGCTTTTGTAAGCAAAATCCAACGAACCATGCGTGCATTGAGATGCTAATAAAAAGGGACAAAGCAAGAAGCGTGACTTTGATACGGTACTACCGTATCAATACACAACTCCCTACTCCCAACACGACACATGTGACATACGTGATACCATCAATAAAAATCGTATGTTGGAGCGGGACCTACCGTATTTTTTAATTACTAGCTATTCATTTTTTTAACAGTCACTGTCTCTTATTAGGGTCATAAAAGCAAAATTTTTAAAACTCTTTCCTGCGTTTCAGTAACTACGTACACTAGAGGGGTCCTTTATAATTATTTTTGTTATCTTGTCTTTTACATTTGATAGGGTATGAAACTATAATGTCCACTTATATATAACATCTGCCACTCGTAACCTCGTGACTCTGCCACATAATGTTACAAAAGACAAAACAAACTTGTAGTTCAAAAGTACAGTTGGGCTCTTAATGCTTGCCTTTTCTTATACTTTGTGGCTGGGTACGTAGCGTTTGGAAATTGGCATTCTAATCCGGACGCAAACGCAAACTCCAACGCCGTTCTATATCTACCACGTAATTAGTGAACATAGCTATACATTGTGGTGTTCAAGGTATGTCCACTAATCGCATAGTCGCCATCCATTTAACTTGTAATCCACTAAATTAGCATATAAAATTTCTAGATATGCATAATATTGTTAATATATATTTTTTTTTTGGGTAGTTTTGAGTCATTTACTTATATGATGAAGTATTCATATCATATTACATTGAATCATGTATTCATCTAGAATCAACATATCAATATGTCATCGGATAATATATGGCAATTCATATACAAGAGTCCAAAACATAAATAACCTCTGGTGTTACGTCAGTGTAACCGAAGTTATTTCTTCAAGAAAAATGGCATCGGCCAATGAGAAGATCACACGGAAATTTAGGTTTTGTCCATACCTCATTTAATAACGACATTTCATCGTTCCTAACGGTTTCAATTATTTGTATCACGTCGCTGCTCTGACTCTCACATACCTCAAGGGTTAAACTCTGTCACGTGCTACTCACGTGTCTGGGTCCCATAATCTTCTTTCGCAAGTTCCAAAAAAAAAACCATGTCCTTAATGATTTTATTTTGTTTGTAATGAATACACACATTTTGCCGTCAATTACTATAATATAGTTTGGGACGCGTGCAGGGATTGATCATACTCACGATCCAAGCTCGATCACCGTCCTTAATGCCACCGTCGTGCGATGGGTCCACGTGTCAATCAGTGAGTGGTTCGAAGGCAGCGATGCTGTTCGTGGGATTGTACCTTGTGGCTTTAGGAGTGGGAGGGATAAAAGGGTCATTACCTTCTCATGGAGCAGAACAGTTCGATGAAAGTACACCTAAAGGTCGGAAACAGAGGTCAACGTTTTTCAACTACTTCGTGTTCTGTCTTGCTTGTGGAGCACTCGTGGCCGTGACGTTCGTGGTTTGGTTGGAAGATAACAAAGGATGGGAATGGGGTTTTGGTGTTTCTACCATTGCCATATTCGTCTCAATTCTCATCTTTCTCTCAGGATCAAGATTTTACAGGAACAAGATCCCATGTGGAAGCCCTCTCACCACAATCTTGAAGGTTTGTTGCTTTAATCTCTCTCACTCTCTCTATTGAGTTTCGAGGTTGAGAATAAACGTGTCCTCTAAGTAATGTCTATGATTCAGGTTCTTCTTGCGGCTTCAGTAAAGAGCTGCCCTAGTGGAAGCTCAAGCAATGCGGTTGTGAATTTGGCTATAAGTCCCTCCAATCATTGTGTACCAAAGGGGAAAAAAGAAGTTGTTGAATCAGAAGGAGAAAACGAAAAGCCGCGTCATCAAGAAGTTGTTGTGCCTCCTCAGGCACAGCTAACCAACAGTTTGAGATTCTTAAACAGAGCCGTAGTGGAGAAACCAGACCATAGATTGTTAGACTGCACGATCCAACAAGTCGAGGATGTTAAGATTGTGCTCAAAATGCTTCCGATATTCGCTTGCACCATCATGCTTAATTGCTGCTTAGCTCAGCTCTCTACATTCTCCGTCCAACAAGCTGCTTCAATGAACACAAAGATAGGTAACCTAAAGATCCCTCCAGCTTCACTACCTGTCTTCCCCGTCGTGTTCATCATGATCCTCGCGCCTATCTACGACCATCTCATCATCCCATTCGCTAGAAAAACAACCAAAACCGAAACGGGAGTCACTCATCTGCAAAGAATCGGAGTAGGTTTAGTGCTTTCCATATTAGCAATGGCGGTTGCTGCTTTAGTTGAGATCAAACGTAAAGGAGTGGCGAAAGACAACGGCTTGCTTGACTCACACGAAACCTTACCAATCACTTTCTTGTGGATCGCGCTTCAGTATCTCTTTCTAGGTTCAGCTGATCTGTTCACCCTGGCTGGACTTCTAGAGTATTTCTTCACGGAAGCACCTTCCTCTATGAGATCTCTAGCGACATCGCTCTCGTGGGCATCCTTGGCAATGGGGTATTACTTAAGCTCTGTGATCGTTTCGATAGTGAACAGCATAACAGGGAGCTCAGGGAACACACCTTGGCTCAGAGGAGAGAGTATAAATCGTTATAAGCTAGACTACTTCTACTGGCTAATGTGTGTTCTAAGCGCAGCTAACTTCTTGCACTATCTCTTCTGGGCAATGCGTTACAAGTACAGATCAACTGGTTCGAGAAGCTAAGTATCGGTTGGTCTACTTTTGAGAGGTTTTTGATTAGAGGGAAAGAGGAAAGAAATGTTTTTTTTTTCTTTGCTTCATCGGCTGATATATAAGAGATGAATGGGGGAAAAATAGTGAATGTTGTGCTCAGGTAAATAGTAAAGGGGCTTGAGTTTTTCTTTTTTCTTAATCGTTGGACAAGAAGAATGTACAGCGAATGATGATATTAACTTGTATTAATTAGTCTTACTCTTTAAATTGTTTCTTGTGATGTATGAAATTGATGAGCCAAAAGCTTTAACGTTTTTGATATATTCATAAAAGAGGTTTTATTTTGTGAATACTCTCATTAATTTGTGGGTATGAGAATACACTCATTTATCGTTGCATGTGTCGTCAGAGAATGTAATCTTCTTACCACAGAAGATTGCCTGTTGTGTCCTCAGAATCGGTCTGATCTTCAAATCAAGGCTTTCTTGTCGAAGGTTGTCTTCGTACCTGGAATATACAAAAAAAAAAAACCTTTGTCATCTCTGATCTCTCCATGTATACCAAAAACTTCACCCAAAATATGATCTTGATGACAAAACTCTTAAAAGCAAATAGTCAAATCCCTTACCAAAGCTTCTTTGCAAGCTTGTACAAGTTGTACCTATAATTAACAAATATAATAGCGTTAATCTTCTGTTAAGATATCAAAAAATTATAGCAATAAGTTAGAGAAACAAATCTCCATATAGAAAATATATATACTTGGGTCGGAAAGGGTATGGAGCTATCTCAGTCCTCCCCAGAAAAATCGAATAACCATTCATCCCTATCGCCACCTACATCATACAAGATTTAATCAGCAATCTTACTTTTCAAATTTCTAATATACAATCATCATTACTACAAACTACTCTCACCTTCTTTGCTTCGTCAGCAGAAGCAAACTCAATAAAACCACAGCCCACATGCTTACCCTCTTGGTTTACAATAAGTCGAACACCAACAACTTCTCCAACCTTTTTAAACATTTTGATGCTGTAAAAATGGAGGATAAAATATGTTAGACATGAACAACTTGCTCCAAGAACGAATGAGGAAATTTAAGGTGGCTACTTACAGATTTGTTATGTCACAAAGAGCGTCTTTTTGCAGAGCTTGGTTGGCAATAAAGACCGTCTTTTCTCTTACAGCAACTTCCTGAATTTAACAGCCGAGTGTGTTAGCACGACTCTGAGGACAAAAAGACATGTTTTGACTTTGTGGCAACAGTTGTGTTATTAAACGATAAGCGTTTCTTTTGTGCATGATATATTTTGAAGATACTAACATGTACCTCGACAAAATCGGGAGTTTCATCTTCTTCAATCCGAAGGCTTTCTCGTTGAACGTAGTCTTCGTACCTGGAATATATCAAAAACCCTTGTCATCTCTCCAAGTATATACCATAAACTTCACCCAATGTACTGATCTTGATAACAAACTTAAGGTACAAATAGTTAAATCCCTTACCAAATCTTGTGATCTATGCAAAACCTAAATAACAAAATAATAGCGTTAGTTTTCTATAATGTCATCAAAACTCTAGCAAAAGTTACATAAACAAATCTCCATAACATGGAAAATCAACTTACTGGGGTCGTGGAGGGTGTTGTTCTATCTTAGCAACATCAAGAATAATCTCACAATCGTGCAAATATTCACCGTTCTTCTTTTCTAGAGCCTACAGTATAGAAAATTTAATCAGCAACCATACGTTCAAATAACTATTTAAATACTACTCCTCATTACTAGAAACTACTCTCACCTTCTTTACTGCGTTAGCAGAAGAAAACTCAACAAAGCCATAGCCCACAAGCTTGCCCCTGTGGTCTACAGAAAGTCGAACATGAACAACTTTTCCAACATTTTTGAAGAAATTGATGCTGTAAAAATGGAAGGTGATAATATATTTAGTCATGAAAAACTTGCTCCAAGAACGAAAGAGGAAATTAATGGTGCAACTTACATATCTGATATTTTCGTTTGCCAAGAGAGATTGTTAACAAAGATTGTCTTCTCTCTTACGGCAACTACCTGAATTTAACAGCAAAGTGTGTTAGCACGAGTCCATGGAGAAAATGACTTAAATTGCATAACAACAAAAAGTAGAATAAGTCCTCTTTCGACTTTGTAGCAACAGTTGTAATATTAAACGTTAAGCGTTTCTTGTGGACATGTACCTTATCAGAATCGAGCTTTGCATCAAATCCTTTCATCAACAAAATCTTATGATCGTGCAAATAGTTGCCATTCCTATATTTCACCGCCTACAGTATAAAAGATCTAATCAGCTACCATACTTGTCAAATTACTTCAATACTTTCTTCCATCATTACTACAAAACTACTCACCCGCTTTGCTTGGATAGCATTAGTAAACTCAAGAAAGCCACAACCCACATGCTTATTCTTGTGGTCTACAATAAGTCGAACACCAACAACTTTTGCAGCACCTTTGAAGAAATTGATGCTGTAAAACAGTAAAAGTGGAGGATAAAAGATCAAAAAACTTGAAAAACTTGCTCCAAGAACGAGAATGGATATTCAAGGTACTACTTACATATGTGATATTTTAGTTGTTTGGGGAGAGAGATTGGCAACAAAGAGTACTTTCTGCATTCAACAACCATGTGTGTTTAAATGACTTAACTTGCATAACAAGTTAACGAAAAAAGTAGCCTCATCTGAAGATTCATCCTTGTGGCAATTGTAAAACGCTATGTGTACTTATGTACCTCATCAAAATCTAGAGGTGTCTCATCTTCTTCTATCGGAAGGCTTTCTCGTTGAGGATAGTCACTGAACCTGGAGTATATCAAAAACCCTTGTGATCTCTCCATATACAATATACCAAAAACTTCACCCAATATGCTCTTTATAACAAAAATCTAAAGGCAAATAGATAAATTCCTTACCAAACCTTGTGATCTATGCAATACCTAATTTAACAAAAAAAAAAAAACAATAGTGTTAATCTTCTGTAATGACATCAAAACCCGAGTAATAAGTCACAACCAGTGTTATGGAAACAAATCTCCATAACATAAATAAATTTACTTGGGTGGAGCTCCCTTATTAGCCAGAAAAATCTCACGGTCGTGCAAAGATTTACCGTTCGTCTTTTCTAGAGCCTACAGAGAGAGTATAAAATTAAAGATAACTTTAAGACAATTACTTATACAATTTTCATCATAAGCATACAGTACTTGTCATCATTAGTCATTACTACAAACTACTCTGACCTTCTTGGCTTCGTCAGCAGAAGCAAACTCAACAAAGCCACAGCCCACACGCTTGCTCTTGCGGTTTAGTTGAAGTCGAACACGAACAACTTCACCAACATCTTTGAAGAAACCGATGCTGTAAAAACTATCAGTCTATGAAAAACTTTGCATTATTTGAGAAGCAAAGTGGAAACTTGAGGTGCTAACTTACATATCTGATATTTCAGTTTGGGGAGAGAGATGGTTAATAAAAATCGTCTTTTTTAGTACGGCATGTTCCTTAGGTTTCCTCAGAATCGGTTTGCTGTCCAAATCATCTTCCCACTTTCGCTTACCCAGTAAATTAGCTATGGCAGCCGGTTTCTGGCTAGAACTGGCCATGGAGAAGATAAAATCAGCGACGGTTTATTTGCCGGGAAGATTTCGAGAGCAGCAATAAGCTGCATATACACCGAGGAAGAAGGTCTTTTATAAAACAATAACCTGGTTTGGGCTGGGCTTTATGTGCACCAATGACTTTTGTGTTTTTTTTTGCTCTCGCCAAACATTATTTTTAAAAAACGTATTTAAAAAGAATATATAAATTTATCCATTTAATTTATTTTATGTGTTTGATAAAAACTAAATAAAAATTAGATTAAAAATTATATTTTAATGATATTATATTAAATTGGTACAATTTTGTTGAAGTATAAAATAAAATATATAATTTTGTTTAGATACAAAATAACAATATATCAAAATGAATAAGATTATTGTGTAAGTGAATGATTTTACTCTCAATAATAAAATTTATATTTGTAACTCTAAATTTGGAATTAGAAATAAATAAAAATGATATTTAGAATATGATTGGGGGAGATGAGTTTAATGACAAAATTGAAAATATTCTAACTTGTATTAATTAATCTTACTCTTTGAATTGTTTCTTGTGCTGTATGAAATTGATGAGTCAAGCGTAACGACGTTTTCACTATTGATAAATTCACAAAAGAGGTTTTATTTTGTGAATGATTATCTAGGTGTTTTTTCGCACCTTGTGCGAAGTTCCATTAAAAGTTTTCAAAAGTAATAACATTAGTTTATTTATAAATTAAAAATTATATTTTATAATTATTTGAAACCAAAATTAATATATCTGAAAAATACAATTTTATGAGTATATTGTTTTTTGTGACAAAGCAAAATATATTATTTATATTCTAATTTCTAATATTTTTATATTATCTGATAAAAACTTATATGTATGTTTTGTTGTTTTATTGCATTTATCAAACATGATAAATAATTATCTTCTTTTGGTGTAAATTGGCAGATTAAGATTAATAAAATTCAAAATTTGCATAAAAAAAACATAGCAATCCAAAATGACCAAAACCAAAAGATATTTGTTTCATATCAAATTAACAATAATTAATATATATGGAGTTTTAAAAGGATTTAATGGATTTAGGTTTTACTTGTGGCCTCATAAATCAATTAGATTAGTTAAAAATATTAGTAAGTTAAACAATTAAATCAAAATTAGTTTAAGTAAATAATTATGATCATTTTTGTGATTTATATTAGTTACCTTTTTTAGTATACTAAATATTTTTATGATATAAATTCTAATTTGGAAATCTAGATTTAAAAAAAACGAAAATTAATTAAAAAATTAAATTATATTAATATGTTAATTTCAATAAAGATAAATAAAGTCTTTTCGTATAAAAAACAAAAAGTAATCAACATCATAACTCTAGATCACCACCCAAATTACTTCTCAATTAATAATATGATTTATGGGACTAGGAACAAGGCTTAAGCTCGTTGAACACTTTTTCATAGCCCTAGAAGATAATAGGGAAATCAAATCTATTCTAATTTATCTTTTTCTTTATAATTTACTAATTTATCTTCTTACCGCAGAAGATTACCTTCTTGTCGAAGGTTGCCTGCTGTTTCTTCAATTCAAGGCTCTCTCGTCGAAGGTTGTCTTCGTACCTGGAACATATCAAAAACCCTTTGTCATCTCTTCATATATATACCAAAACTTCACCCAACCTGTGCTCCTTATAACAAAACTCTAAAGGCAAATTAGTTATATCCCTTACCAAAGCTTCTCTGCAATCTCATACCTATAATTAACAAAAATAATAACGTTAATCATCTGTTATGATATCAAAACTATAGCAATAAGTTAGCGAAACAAATCCCAAAATGGGAACATAGATTTACTTGGGTTGGAAAGGGTATGGAGCTATCTCAGCCATCTTAAGAAAAATCTTTTTACCATCCATCTCTTGCACTGCCTACAATATAAAAGATTTAATCAGCAATGGTACTTTTCAAATGACTCCTTAAATACTCTTTTCATCATTCCTTACTATAAACAACTCTCACCTTCTTTGCTTCGTCAGCAGAAGCAAACTCCACAAAGCCACAACCCACATGCTCACCCCTGTGGTCTACAATGAGCCGAACACAAACAACTTCTCCAACCTTTTTGAACATTTTGATGCTGTAAAAATGGAGGATAATATATTAGTCTATGAACAACTTGCTCCGAGAGAGAAAGTGAAAATCAAAGGTGCTACTTACACATCTGATATGTCACAAAGTGCGTTTTTTTCAGAGCTTGATTGGCAACAAAGACTGTCTTTTCTCTTACGGTAACTGCCTGAATTTAACAGCCAAGAGTGTGTTAGCACGACTCTTAGGACTTAAACTAGACAACAACAAAAAAATAGATTCATCTTTCGACTTTGTGGCAACAGTACTGTTATTACATGATAAGCGTTTCTTCGGAGCCTGACATATTTCAAAAGATTATAAGAAGAGGTACCTCAATAAAATCCGGAGTTTCATCTGCCGCATCTTCTTCTATCCGAAGGCTTTCTCGTTGAAGGTAGTCTTCGTACCTGTAATATATCAAAAACCCTTGTGAACTCTCCAAGTATACCATAAACTTCACCCAATGTGCTCTTGATAACAAAACTCAAGATGCAAATAGTTATAAACCCTTACCAAGCCGTGTGATCTACGCAATACCTAATTAACAAAAAAACAATAGCGTTAGTCTTTTGTAATGGCATCAAAACTCTAGCAATAAGTTACATAAACAAATCTCCATAGCATGGAAAATCAATTTACTGGGGTCGTGGAAGGTATGGAATTTTCTTAGCAACAGTAAGAATAATCTTGCAATCGTGCAAATATTCACCCTTCTTCTTTTTCAGCGCCTACAGTATAACTTTCACCGTAAGTATACACTACTTTTCAAATGACTACTAAAACTACTTTTCATCATTACTAACAACTACTCTCACCGTCTTTGCTTGGTAATCAGAAGCAAACTCAACAAAGCCATAGCCCACGTGCTTGCCCCTGTGGTCAACAGCAAGTCGAACATGAACAACTTCTCCAACATCTTTGAAGAAATTGATGCTGTAAATATGGAGGGTAAAAATATGAGTCATAAGAAGAAACTTGCTCCAAGAACGAAAGAGGAAATCAAAGGTGCAACTTACATATCTGATATTTCGGTTTGCCAAGAGAGTTTGTTAACGAAGAGCGTCTTCTCTCTTACGGCAACTACCTGAGTTTAACAGCCAAGTGTGTTAGCACGGCTCCAAGGAGAAAATGACTTAAATTGCATAACAACAAAAAGTAGAATAAGTCCTTTTTCGACTTAGTGGCAATAGTTGTAATATTAAACGCTAAGCATTTTTCTGAAGTAATAAGTAAGAACAAGTACCTTATCAGAATCGGGCTTTTCATCAAGTCCTTTCATCAACAAAATCTTATGATCGTGCAAATATTCACCATTCTTATTTTCCAGCGCCTACAATATTAAAAGATCTAATCAGCTATCATACTTTCAAATAACTACTTGTATAGTTTTCATCACAAGTATGCACTACTTTTCAAATTACTTTAATACTTTAATACTATAAAACAACTCACCTTCTTTGCTTGGTTAGCAGAAGCAAACTCAAGAAAGCCACAGCCCACATGCTTACCCTCGTGGTTTACAATAAGTCGAACACGAACAACTTCTCCAACATCACTAAAAAATTTGATGCTGTAAAAATGGAGGATAAAATATCAGTCATGAAAAACTTGGTGATTGTATCAGCCAAGTGTAAGATTGAACGAAAGTGCTACTTACATGTGTGATATTCTAGTTGTGTGGGGAGAGAGATTGGCAACAAAGAGTACTGCCTGAATTTAACAGCCAAGTGTGTTAGGTTAGCACGACATAAAGGACAAAAGGGCTTAAATTGCATAACAAGATAAAGTAGATTCGTCCCAAGAATAGGTCATATACAGCAGTTGTGTTATGAAACGCTAAACGTTTCTTCTGATATACTTCGAAGATAATAAGAACATGTACCTGAACAAAATCGGGAGGTGTCTCATCTTCTTCTATCGGAAAGCGTTTTAGTTGAGGATAGTCTTCGTACCTGTAACATATCAAACAACCCTTGTAATTTCTCCATGTACACCATCAAACTTCACCCAATGTGCTCTTGATAACAAAACTCAAAATACAAATAGTTAAATCACTTACCAAACTTTGTGGTCTATGCAATTCCTAATTCACAAAAAAAAAAAACAATAACAGCGTTAATCTTCCTTAGTGACATCCATCAAAACTCTAGCAATAAAGTTACAGAAACAAATAAATTTACTTGGGTGGAAAGTATGGATTTCCTTTAATAGCCACATCAAGAATAATCTTACGCTTGTGCAAATGCTCACCGTTCTTCTTTTGCAGCGCCTACAGTATCAATCAGCAATCAAACTTTTAGATAACATACTTGTATATTTTTTTTCATTATTACTATAAGAAAATCTCACCTTCTTTGCTTCGTTAGCTGAAGCAAACTCAACAAAGCCAACGCACCTAAGAATACACTTGCGGGTTACAATAAGCCGAACACGAACAACTTCTCCAACATCTTTGAAGAAATCGATGCTGTCAAAATAGAGAGGATAAAATTTACATATTTGAAGCAAACTTTGCGTATTTGACAAGGAAAGTGGAAACTTGAGGTGCTTACTTACATATCTGATATTTCAGTTTGGGGAGAGAGATGGCAAATAAAGAGCGTCTTTTTTAGTACGGCATGTTCCTTAGGTTTCCTCAGAATCGGTTTGGTCTCCAAATCATCTTCCCACTTTCGCTTACCCAGTATATTTGCTATGGCGAGCGGTTTCTGGCTAGGACTGGCCATGGAGAAGATGAAATCAGCGACGGCTTATTTGCCGGAAGATTTTGAGAGCAGCAATAAGCTGCATATACATGGAGGAAGAAGGTCTTTTATAGATAACTTGTTTGGGCTAGGCTTTTATTTATTGGGCTTTTGTGTTTTGTGCTCTCGCCGACATTATTTGAAAAGTCGTATTAGTTTTGTAAAAAGGCTTGTCGATGTGTTTACTTAAAAAGTCGATTTTGATTTATTTTTTAATCATCTACTCCCTCCATTTTTTTTATAAAATGTTTTAGAAATTTTTTTTATTTATAATTAAATGATATTTTCAGAAATCAATACAAAAAATAATTATTTTATTCTATATATTATTATTTTATTAGTTAGAATTATTTTGTAATTAATGTTTTGTTTTGAAAAAAGAAAAATTAAATAACTTTTTAATTTCTATGCAAACCTTAAACATTATATATAAAAAAAACGGAAGAAATATCTACTACATGTGATTAAATTTTTTTTTTTTTTTACATAAACAAATAAATTGTATTTCATTTTCTTACTTTTTTTAAATATTTATGCAATATTTTCAATTTATTTTATTCTAACAATAATTTTGATGACCATTTTCATTCTCATTTTTTGGATTATTTTTAATTCGATGCATTTTAAATACGTTTTTATAATCTTCAATTATTAATTATTAAAGTGTTCAATTAAATCCGATAAGCATCTATAAAACAAATCAATCTCTTAACTAAAATCTCTTTTAAATAGAAATAACAGATATTGCCAAAAAAAAAAAAAAAAACTTTCTAAAAAAATTGAGTAATTTCCAACGATAAAGACGAAAATACCTGGCGAAATATCAATCCATCCTCTAATTGCAGAGTAATTTCGACGAATCTTCCTTTGTCCTTCCCTTGTAATTTCCTCCAGCTATCTCTCCCTCTTCTCTTCTTTATATTTGGGTCTCTGTTCGCTTTTTTACAGTTTGTGTCATATCCTTCGTTCTCCACTCGAGTCAAATCTATAGATCTCTGCTCTTTCTCGGTATTTAATTATCTTTATTTTACTGTTGATTTTGTGGGTTTTTGTTTCGTGCTATCTTGTGGACCCCTTTGGGACTCCATTGACAAATTCTTGTCGATTTTAGGGTTTCGTTCTTAGTATTTTTGTTTTTTTACCAGGTGGGTCTCGTAGAAGATGAAGGGTTTTTGTGTATTTTGTTCAGTTAGTCGGAATATTCTGTTGATTGAATAGTTAATTTCTGCTAATATCTTATTGCAGAGTCAATATTTTAAGGTCATCTTATAGAATCTGAGAGTCTACTTGTCGTTGAAAAAAATTGTTTTAAAACTATTTCGCCGTCTTTAAATAATCTTATCCTTTGTTCTATGAGAAGACAAATTTGATCTTCTCTTCGACTTTGTGTATGGTTCAGAATCTTTACTTTGTTTCTTAATTCTTGTTATTAATCCATAAACTAGAAAAAAATTGTTTCTTTTTTCTGTGTGTGTAATCGACCTCTCTGTAATCTCTTCTTTGGAGTTGATGATTTCAGTTTGTATAGCTTTATAACTGGGGCTCCTTCTCCTTGCATTATATATATTTGTCATGTTTTTCTGAATGTTCTGTCTTTGATTCAGGAAAAGAAACAAAATGGGTCAAGTTTTGGGTTGTGTCCAAGTTGATCAGTCTACTGTAGCAATCAAAGAGACTTTTGGGAAATTCGACGAGGTTCTTGAGCCAGGATGTCATTGTTTGCCATGGTGCTTGGGAAGTCAAGTCTCTGGTCACCTTTCATTGCGTGTTCAGCAGCTCGATGTTCGCTGCGAGACAAAAACTAAGGTATCTTCTAAGACTGTGTCTCCATTTAATGTTTTTGAGACATTGGAAGTTGTAATAATGGTATTGTGTTTCTTTGTTTGTTTAGGATAATGTGTTTGTCACCGTTGTTGCTTCCATTCAATACCGTGCCTTGGCGGAGAGTGCTCAAGATGCTTACTACAAGCTCAGCAACACAAGGAATCAGATTCAAGCTTATGTCTTTGATGGTTTGTTTTTAAAGATCCTTCCTTTTTCTTGTTTGTTTCTTGTGTTTGCCTAAAAATAACTGATTCTCCATTGGTTTTGCTTTTGTAAAGTGATCCGAGCAAGTGTGCCTAAGCTGGATCTAGACTCAACCTTTGAGCAAAAGAACGACATTGCAAAAACCGTTGAGAGTGAGCTTGAAAAGGTAAAAGCCATCTCCTTTAGCAAAATTTTGAAAAAAGCTTCACACAAAACAATATTAACATAAAGACCCTATATGATTGTATGTATAATAGGCTATGTCTCATTACGGGTATGAGATAGTCCAGACGCTTATTGTGGATATTGAGCCTGATGTGCACGTCAAGAGAGCAATGAATGAGATCAATGCAGGTATGTTCTAACTTCTAATTCAATTGCTGACATATACAACAAGTTCTCAGACTTTTTGTTTTGCTGAAAAGCTTATTAACATGTCTCTGTTCTGTTTACGCAGCTTCGAGAATGAGAGAGGCGGCGACTGAGAAAGCTGAGGCGGAGAAGATACTTCAGATCAAGAGAGCCGAGGGAGAAGCTGAGTCGAAATACCTTTCAGGTCTGGGTATAGCCCGTCAGAGACAAGCCATTGTGGATGGTCTGAGGAACAGCGTACTCGCCTTCTCTGAGTCTGTTCCAGGGACATCTTCGAAAGACGTCATGGACATGGTTCTGATCACTCAGTACTTTGACACATTGAAGGAAATTGGTGCGTCTTCCAAGTCAAACTCGGTGTTCATACCGCATGGTCCAGGCGCTGTTAAGGACATTTCTTCACAGATCAGGGATGGTCTTCTTCAGGGTAAATCCATTGAGTAGAGAGATCTCCAAAAGCACAAAGCTTTCTTAGGGTTTAGTTGTGTTGCTGCTACTTAGTCTTTTTTCTTTTATCTTTAGCGGTTTGGCTTTCTGTTTTGTGAAGTCCTTATGGATTCCTTAAAATATACTTGTGGTCTTCTGTTTACTGGAGTGTGAACTGAATCCTCTGTCTGGGTTAGAAGGTTTAGGGATATGTTTTGGGCTTTATATAGTATGACACAATTTGGGTTTTAGTGTGTTTTCTTATTGTCAAGAAAGATTTTATGTTCATAACTACGATAATTATAAAAAACAGACATGATGGTCATCATGAATTCATATGCGAGACAAGCTGATTACTCCAAATAGAGATTTTCATTTCAGTTTGAAATACTCCAAATGTGTACTATTTTCATTTTACGTTTCAGTGATTTTCGTTTCATTTTACCTTTTTTGTCTCTTAAGTCTTAACTACAGAGTTATGAGTCGCTTAATTAAAAACTCTTTTTTTTTCCGTCAAACTTGATTAGAACTCTAGTAGAAGATCTTTGGTAGAGTATTACAAGTCTAGAGGCCAAGAAGAGAAAAAGATGTAATCAAAAAGATCAAATTGTAATGTTAAGATAATAAATCATCACTAATCACGATCAAGGTGGGACACTAGATGCATACAATATGCATGTGCTCTTTTGGTTTTGGATCTTTGTTCTAATTAATATCATATATATATATATAATTGCCACTGATTAGGATCTACAAAATCTTGATCACATATACTTCTTTTCAACAACCTTCTTGAATTGTTCCATTTTGTGCAATGAGCTCAGGATGCATAAGTTCCTTTGCTTGCTTTACTAAACTATATTCTTGAACAAACAAAATACTTACAACATTGTACGTAAAAGAATAAACAATAAATTATTAACTTATTTAAAAATGAAAAAAAGGTACCTACTTTTTAGATCTCTACGATACCAACGGTGAGATCTGTGCTTCACGATTTCTGGAAACAACCATCTCAAATCGTTCCAAACTCATCGGCCAGCCGTCAGATCATATAAACAAAATCGTATTTTTCTTCATATTATTATATATTTTGCCGACGAGGAGGGAAAGGTGGGTCCTATGCAGAGCTGACGTGGCTTTTAAGTGAGATTATACGCGTTACTCGAATCTCGATAAAGCCATCTTCCCTTTCACCAAAACCAAAAGTTGTCTATCATCTCTCTTTTCCACTAACAATTATTTCAACGACTCTTAACCTCTTCTTCACTCTCTCGCTTTAAAAAAATATCTTCTCTTCTTCTTCTGCTTCTTCTTCTTCTTCTTCTTCTTCTCTCGATTGCACGATACTGCAATGTCCACCGTTCCCATTGAGCCTCTTCTCCACCATTCTTCTCTTCGTCGCAACTCTAGAATCTATCGCGGAGCTAGAGGCTTCTTGCCTTGCTCGTTGAATCTCCGTTGTCATCTCACTTCGAAGAAGCTACACTCGGTTGGTAGAAGCGTCGGCTCCGGCACGAGCTTAGGTTTTCGCAGAAGGTGCGCCGCGATTCGAGCTAGCTCCTCCGATACTGCCGTCGTCGAAACCTCTCAATCGGATGATGTCATCTTCAAGGAAAATTTCCCCGTACAGCGAATCGAAAAGGTTTTCGTTATTAATCCTTAGAAACATACATTTACCGTTTTTGTTCGTAAGTCTGGCTTAATTTTGGGTTTCGGAAATTGATGGAAAAACCTGGGAAGATTTTGGTTCCACATTTGAGATTTGCTATTCCAAAGGCTAAGTAATTTACTCAACTTGATTGAATATACCTTTCATGCTGTTGTTAAGTTGATTTTGTGGATCGATTGAGAACACTTTGTCATCGAGCTTAAGATTTGATTTGTGTGTTTGCGTTTGAATGTAAACTATAGGCAGAAGGAAAGATTCATGTTCGATTGAAGCAAGTGAAGGAGAGTAATTGGCAGCTGAGTGTTGGATGTAGTCTTCCTGGAAAATGGATCATTCACTGGGGAGTTTCATATGTGGGTGATACTGGCAGGTCCTTCCGCTTCTTTCACATTTCCTTTTTGGTTTTTTTTTTCAGTAACCTTATGAATTGGGAAATTTTATTTTTCTACCTTTTAAATTTGACAGTGAATGGGATCAACCTCCGGAAGATATGAGACCACCTGGTTCGATTGCCATCAAGGTACTGTATATACTACTTAGTGTTTTCACTTTTGGTTTATCGTTACTTTGGATATTTGTAACACTTTTTTTTGATGCTGTATCAGGACTATGCCATAGAGACACCTCTAGAGAAGTTATCTGAAGGAGATTCGTTTTATGAAGTTACTATTGACCTAAACTTGGAAAGCTCAGTAGCAGCTCTCAATTTTGTTTTGAAGGTTCTGTTGCTAAACACTTTGCGATAAAGCTGATTGTTGGTTTGCCCTTAGTTGTGCATTTATCCGGGACTGTTGTTTTCCAGGATGAGGAAACTGGGGCATGGTATCAGCACAAAGGGAGAGATTTTAAGGTTCCTTTTTTTGATGATGTTCCTGATGATGGAAATTTGATCAGAGCAAAGAAAAGCTACGGTTAGTGGACTAATGCTAGATATCTACATCTATTGGGGTTGGTCTACAGGTTTAGTATTGCTTGAATCTTCAAATCTGATTGAGACTTGCTTTCTCTTGGATCTCTAGGTGCCCTTGGACAGCTCTCAAACCTCGTTGTCAAACCAGACGAGCCCGGTGCAGATGTTCAAGAAAAGAGCGAGAGCTCGTCTGATTTGACAAAAGAAAGAAAAGGTCTTGAAGAGTTTTACGAGGAGATGCCAATTAGTAAACATGTTTCCGGTGATAACTCAGTCAGCGTAACTGCAAGGAAATGCCCTGAAACATCTAAGAACATTGTGTCGATTGAAACTGATTTACCGGGTGATGTTACTGTTCACTGGGGAGTTTGCAAAAATGGCAGTAAGAAATGGGAAATTCCAGCTGAACCTTACCCGGAAGAAACAACTTTGTTTAAGAAGAAGGCATTACGCACTCGTTTACAAGTAAGTGTAGAAGTATGTTCCTTGGCAATATCTGAATGTTCAAGTTTGATAATCTGGCAATCATCACTTGTGTCATGTCTCGCTGATTTAAGTCTGTAAGATTCAAATTTAGTTATTGGTTAGCAACACACCAAGCATTTTTTCAGGTTGTGCAACCTGCTTTTCTTTTCTTATGCTCCCTGATAGACTTTCTAGATATTGTTAACAGAGAATCGAAATCTTTTGTTTAACTTTCCTATTAAAATATTATTATGTTTCCATCAGTGGCATCATCTAAGTGTTTATGCATATGAACATTTTGCAGCGAAAAGACGATGGAAATGGATCTTCTGGGTTATTCTCTCTGGATGGAAAGCTTGAAGGATTATGTTTTGTTCTCAAGTTAAATGAAAATACTTGGCTAAATAATAGGGGTGAAGACTTCTATGTCCCTTTCCTTGCTTCAAGTAGCTTGCCCGTTGAAACTGAAGCTGCTCAAGTGAGTGGAAAGACACCCAAAACAAATCAAGAAGTGTCCGATAGTGGATTTACTGATGAGATCATCACTGAGATAAGGAACTTGGCAATTGACATTTCCTCTCACAAGAATCAGAAGACAAACGTTAAAGAAGTGCAAGAAAACATTCTCCAGGAAATTGAGAAACTTGCTGCGGAGGCATATAGCATATTTAGAAGCACAACTCCAACCTTTTCCGAGGAAAGTGTTTTAGAAGCAGAGGCTGAAAAGCCTGAAATTAAAATCTCCTCGGGGACTGGCTCGGGATTTGAGATATTGTGTCAGGGATTCAACTGGGAATCTCATAAATCTGGGAGATGGTACAAGGAACTTCAAGAAAAAGCCGATGAGTTAGCTTCACTTGGATTCACTGTTCTGTGGTTACCTCCACCGACAGAATCTGTGTCACCTGAAGGGTACATGCCTAAAGACCTGTATAACTTGAATTCCAGGTGAGCTCTGCATTTTTACTATTTTTCTTAGGAGATTAGAAATACATATGACAGTTACTTGACGCAGTGGTAGTGTGTATTTGAACTGCCTGTTTCCCCCGTTTTTGTTGCAATCTTGCAGGTATGGAACTATTGATGAGCTAAAAGATACCGTGAAGAAATTTCACAAGGTTGGGATCAAAGTTCTTGGCGATGCTGTTTTAAATCACCGATGTGCACACTTCAAGAATCAAAATGGTGTATGGAATCTCTTTGGAGGACGTCTGAACTGGGACGATAGGGCAGTAGTTGCAGATGACCCTCATTTTCAGGTATTCTTTTGCGTTCTTTAGATTTAACATAAAGAGAAGTTTGATATTAGAGCTACGGAACAAAAGAAAAAAAAAGGGTAAACTCTTTGATAGAGGACGTGTATTTTGCTGATATATGCTGCCGTATAATGATTTTCCGTCTTAATTTTTTTTGTGAGAGATAAGGTTCTTATGATCTTTATCAACCCGTGATGGTACTACATTCAATTATTTCATTGGTTCAGGGTAGAGGAAACAAGAGCAGTGGAGATAATTTCCATGCTGCTCCAAACATAGATCACTCACAGGACTTTGTTAGGAAGGATATCAAGGAGTGGCTATGCTGGATGAGGTTACTTCCCCTGTTTTTTTCTCTCTCTCTAATCTCTGGTGATTGGGTTGGTGTCTAATTTCATTCGCTATTTCGATTCACCTGCAGAGAAGAAGTTGGGTATGATGGATGGAGGCTTGATTTCGTAAGAGGGTTTTGGGGAGGTTATGTGAAAGACTATATGGATGCTACCAAACCCTACTTTGCGGTTGGTGAATACTGGGATTCCCTAAGCTACACGTATGGAGAAATGGACTACAATCAAGACGCACATCGTCAAAGGATTGTTGACTGGATCAATGCAACCAGTGGAGCTGCTGGTGCCTTTGATGTCACAACCAAAGGAATTCTTCATACGGTAACTAATAATAATATCCATCTTTTGTAGCGTTTGTTACATAACATTTGGTTTTTGGTTTATGAGATCTTGTAAGCTTTTTCTGTGTGTAGGCTCTTCAAAAATGTGAATATTGGAGACTCTCAGACCCAAAAGGGAAGCCTCCTGGTGTAGTTGGATGGTGGCCTTCTCGTGCTGTAACGTTCATAGAGAATCATGACACTGGCTCTACTCAGGTTTTTGTTTCTCACCATTTTTTTAAAAGTTTCTGTTTAAACAAAACCGTCTCAACAAAGAACTTTTCTCTTTTGTTAAAAAAGGGTCATTGGAGATTTCCTGGAGGGAAGGAGATGCAAGGATATGCATACATCTTGACTCATCCAGGAACACCAGCAGTTTTCTTCGACCATGTCTTCTCAGATTATCGTTCCGAGATTGCTTCTCTCCTCTCGCTCAGGAACAGACAGAAACTCCACTGTCGGAGTGAGGTAAAAACTCAAAATCTTTTAAACATATTTTTACTTTCTTTTACGAAATCCGTCAGGTCTTAAAACCATCCTCCTTTGTTTTCGTTTATTGGGGATTATAAAGGTGAATATAGATAAGAGTGAGAGGGATGTCTATGCGGCTATAATAGATGACAAGGTCGCAGTGAAGATCGGACCAGGGCATTACGAACCACCAAGCGGATCTAAAAACTGGTCCGTAGCCGTCGAAGGCAGAGACTACAAGGTGTGGGAATCATCTTGAGAAGCAGGTATATTTTTATGTGTCAGTGTGTAGTAAATAAAAATGTTCCCTGGAGAAGAAAAAAAATTGTTATTATATATATGATGTTTCAGGGAAGAGCCAGAAAATAAGCTTACCTGGAAATGTGTTGTAGATGGGACTAGAACCAGGTTTAAGATTTGTCCCAATTTTTTATAATATTGAGAACATATTCATATTGTTGTATCACCAACATTCTGGATGATGCTTGTAAAGAGTATGTGTGTTACGGACTTACGGTTAGGGGTGGGCATTTCGGTTTTTGGTTTGGTTTTGGTTTGGTTTCTTCGGTTTTACGGTTTATCGATTTTACAAAAATTCAAATCATATAAAAGCCATATATATTTCGGTTCTGTATGATTTTGTTTTTTACGGTTCGGTTTATTATGGTTTGGTTTCAGTTTTTTTAGAATTATATTTTTACGAAATTTTTTGATTCAAACTAATAAAAATAATAATAATAGATATGAATGAAATAAAATAATAAATTCAAAAAATAGAATCTAAATCATAAAAAAATCATCAATAACGACAAATTTCAAAACAGAAAAATAAATAAATTATTAAATTTTTCATAATTAATAATTATAAAACAATAAACAAATCTATATTAAAATTTAATACCTATAAGGCTATAATTTTGAAACTAGAACTAGAAAACTTGAATGTGAAGAAAAAATAGTTAATCATGTTATTTTTTATTGAAAAATTAAGGTTTACTTTATTATTTTTATGTAGAGTTCTTTTATAAATATTATATTTTAAAAATCGAAAAAATCTTTTGATTTGACGGTTTTTAACCAAACCAAACCTAAACCAAAGTTATAAAAAAATAATGGCCAAATGGATTTTTAGGTTTAACCATAACTAAACCATATCACTTTTTTCGATTCGATATGGTTTGGTTTTTTCGGTTATGGTTTTTGTGCCCACCCCTACTTACGGTGATTAGTTGAGTAAAGTATAGTCAAGAAGACATATTTTGTCATTGTAGATATATGTGGTATCTTTCTCTTTCAGCTTAGTCAAGATTAGCATTCAAACAAAGAACGAAAGGTTGAGTTTCGTTTTGAAAAATTTAAAAGAGAAACCTCGCATTCAATGATATATATAATGCATCACATTCTCTTAGGACAATACAGATGTGGTTTAATTTCAATAGAACAATCGTCTATTGTGTATTCAGCTTTTAGCAAAATAAAATAAAATACATGTTCATCACGACTCGGATAGTCGGATTGACTAAGGTTAGTGCACTCTTCAAATATTCAAACATGACATGACAGTCCTAAGCAGTTTCTCATTTTTTTCTATTATACAACAATCATGATAGTATTTGGCCAAAAATGTCAATTTTAGATACATTTCTATTTGCTGTTAAAAAAAATTCCAAATAGATTGAAAATGTATATTTGTTTATTTTGTGGAAACCCATTGGTCAAATGGTTGAACGAAGGTTAATTAATATTTCTACATTAAGAGATTTGGGGTAGTCTCTCTCTCTCACTATCTCTCTCTCTTTCTTTTTAGTCAAAGAAAACATAGTCTCTTTCTTGATTGAATTCACATACTTTATTAATGAACTTTGAATCTATATATTTATTTATTGTTTGAATAGTTGATATTTGTTTAAAATTTTTTGAATGATATAACATGTGTAAAAAAAATATTTCTTTTTTTGATTGTATGGATAATGTGATGATTTTTGTTGTTTTACAAAATCAAGTTCAGTCAAAAATAAGAGAAGAAATATAGTGTTCACAACATATTAATATGATATATTTTAGTAAGAAAATGAAAAGAAGGAATATATCTTTATAAATTAAATGATAAATTATGTATAAATAGTTAATATAATTTACTGTATAACTAAATTAATGTAAACGTTAGTTTTATATTTAATATATATAACATTATAGTATGCCATATGGATCTTTGTCATAATAAACTCTAATATACAGATGTAGTAATAGCATACCATGTAATTAATTAAGTAATTTGGGGAGAATGATTCTTGTAACTACACATTATCAAAAAACGCTATAATTGTAAAATTATTATTTATAAATAATTCTCAATTAATATATATGAGATTTTATTTTAGTTAGCTTAAGATATCAACTATATTAAATGTATAGATGTGGTAGTTTAGAAAACTTCTCCTTCTTCCTCTCATATATATATATGTGTGTCGATGGTGTATGAGCAAAATAACAGAAATCCTTTTTATACCTTCTTTTGTTTTCTCGAATTAAACATTTTGGACGGAAAACAAAACAAAAAAATCAAATAAGAAAATGGCAGCTAACAAGGTTGCTTTCTTGTTGGTTCTTTGCCTATGTGTTCTCTCAACCGCAGGTGAAAACATTTCTCTGACATTCCTCGGATTTATTTACTTTAATACATTACTTATCCAAAAGCTGATGTGTTTTTCGCATGATTCATTAAAATATCATTGTTTTGGTTTTGCAAATAACACCTTTTAATTTTCTTTTTAACATAAATTGATAGAGTTTGGAGTAGCCCAAATCCAAACGGGAAGAAAATGCCGAGATCCAGACGGCGTTGACAAAAATGGGGATTGTCAAGGCTACTGTAGACATAGAATGGGTTTTCTCGGTGGCTCTTGCATAGGCTACAGAAATCATTTTATGTGTGAGTGTTATGATAGATAACAAAGATCTCACTGATTTAAATTCCAACTCAAATAATATTGTATCTCTTCTTTTCGATTCTTGTTATCGTCAACTCAAATATATGACTGATTTTAATAAATTCCAACTCAAATAATATGTATCTCTTCTTTTGGATACTTTTTTTTTTGTTTTTTTGCCATCGTAATATAAATAACAGCTAGTGGGATTCATAAAATAATGTGGAGCCTAAATGCCTAAAGCCTCGGCATTAATTAAGATTAACTAATGTAGTGAATAACTTTACGAGAACGAACGAAACAAATTTGGCTCTGACAAGCAATCGAATCAAAGGAGCATGCGATTTCGATTTCGATCAGTTACGATGATTTAAGACTTTCATTTCAATTAGCTTAAGACACTATTCCTATTATATTAACAGGAAATACATATTAACTGTAAAACCCTTTATCAAAAAAAAAAAAAAACATATTAATTATATAGATGTGGTAGTTTAGGAAACTTCTCCTTCTTCCTCTCCTATATGCATCGATGGTGTATGAGCAAAATAATTTATATCTTCTTTTGTTTTCTCGAATTAAACATTTTTCAAAGAAAAGAAAAAAAACTTTAAATAAGAAAATGGTATCAAACAAAGTTGCTTTCTGCTTGATTCTTTGCTTATACTAGGTGATGATGAATTTTATTATATATTTTTAGATTTTTAAATAAAATTTACTGAATTTCTTAACAACTATACTATTTGAACTAAGAAAAAAAAAGAGCGATAATGGCGATTTAGGTTTTGTGCCGCCGCCGTCGTCGGTGTGGCCTCTCGCTGCCGACGAGAATCTTCTCCTTTCTTCCCCCTCTTCCTTTCTCCCATGGTTTCTTATCATTTCGCTCTTCCACCACCGCTGCTCAAACCTCCGCCAGATCTGCCGCCAGGTAAGCCATCACCAGATCTGCACGAGGGGTTAGCTTCCGTGGAACCTTCCGACCCACCAGATCCTCCAGATCTGGCTGCCACCCTCACGTTCTCATTGTTCTCTGCCGCCGCTGTCTTCAATCCCCCGATTGTCCCCTTTCTTCATCTGGATCTAGGTTTTCAGCGGCTCATCCGAGAGTTTGCTTTCCTTGTATTCTCTAGGGATTCGTTATTGGCGTTTGGATGTCCTCTTTCTGCAGTATGCAGTCCTCCTGTTCTCTTACCGCCCCTCCACCCCGAAAGCATTGATGCCGCCCCTCCACCCCCTTGCCTCGAAGCCTTTCTACCTCTCCCGCTCCCCCAGGTTTGCTCCTACTCCTCATCCTCGGTATCTTCAGTCTTAGAACAGCAGTTTACTGGATGGGAAACGCCTGTGTTGTGGAGTCTGGATATATTCATTTCCGCCTCAGTGCGGCTCTTTACTGCAGTATGCAGAGTTTGTTCCGTTTTCAATTTGACGGAAGTTTTAGGTTCTTTTCTTAAGTGGCAGTTTAGAAAGAACGATTGTCTTAGTAACCCTCTTCTATTGAATCGGGTTTTGGACTCCTATAGTCCTCATCCCTCCTCTATGGAGTCTGTTTTCCTTCCACATATTTCACTTATTTTGAGTGGTATTGTTTCAGGGAGCATTGTGTCGAAAGTAGTTCTGTTTAGAACAAAAGTCATGAGGCTATTAGTCTCTTGTTCAGTATTTAATGGTGCTGACGGCTTCACTTTCTCGACTATGGAGTCTGTGTTTCTTCCTCTTGGTGGTTTCCTTTTTCTCGGTGGTTTTGTTCAAGACAGCACAGTCTGCTCTTGTCTGGATGTTATTTCGGTTGAGCTTGTTAGCTCCCGTTTATTATTAGTTGAGCTTGTTAGTTCCCATTTATCTCTCTATCTCTGTTTAAGTTATTGTTATTGTTTCTACCATTTGTGCTTCACCAACGTGTGGATGAATGCTCTATTATATTTGGCTCTTAGTGGCCGGTTGTATCATTTCCGTATGGAGGAAAAATTTTGTTAAGTTAATGCAAATAAAGGTTTGACCCAAAAAAAAAAAAATTTACTGATTGAGTAATTTTAAATTTATTAACTATATAAATATATAAACATTATTAAAGTTAATATATACATCCTTTTGCTTATATTTGTTTTTTTCATACTAATTTTTTTTCTTAAATTTGTTTGTTTTGAACTTATAGAATAGAAAAAAAGATTTTATTGTTTATAATTTTATATTAAAACAAAACTTGTATTTACAAAAGAAATAGATTTTTAGCTTGCAAGAAAATTAGCAACCGGTTATATAACTGTGAAAACATAAATGATCACTAAAAAAAGATATAAAAAAATAATGTCATCTTAAAATTCAGCATTTTAGAAATATATAAAAAATACTAATATTGAAACATATGTTAACCAATATGTAGCATTAATAATGTTGTTAAATTATTTATTGACACATAGAATAAGAATAATATAAGAAGTATAGAAAACTTAACCTCATGTCTACACAATCTAATATTCTGTTCATTAGTTTTGAAATTTGGCTCTACAGTCCAATGATTTATAATTTAGAGGTACAAATTATTATTTAATCGTATTTTCCACACTTAATTCGGTTTAGACATATTATGTTACAGACTGAGCAAAATCAATTAACAGCTTCACATAAATCAAGATTTACTGACCTTTAAATAATATATAGGAATGGAAACCTCACGAACATAACCAAATTTCAATCTATGACGACACATGCTTCCTACAAATTCTTCTTATTTTGTTCATCACACAAACTAAGACACATTACAATATTTTTCATCACACTAACAATGACTAAAATATTTTACTTACACCAGACGGTCCGCGAGAGAGACTAAAAACATTTAAAGAAAAACAACACGCAAGATTTAGTATAGAGCTTCGAGGCTAAGTTTTTCATTTCTTCTCGAGTCTGAGGTTGAAGACAGTTCAAACGACAACGTCTTTGACTTAAACATTTAAAAATCTCTAAACCCTATAATGAGAGAAATAAAAAAAGGTACAGAAAACACACCAAACTACACAAGACAGATCTGAGAAACCATAGAATATTAAAAAATAAGTCTCTCAACAATATCAACACCAAACTACATATTTTCAGAAAAAGTCATCTCCAAGATTATGGAGAACCCTGATGTTGCAATGGCATTCCAGAATCCTACAGTCCAAGCAGCGTTAATGGAAGTGTGTATTTTGTATTAACTTGAATAAAACAAATTAAACTTTGATATGATCTCACTTAGTTTGATTGTTGTTGTTGTTGCAGTGTTCAGAGAATTCAATGAACATCATGGAGTACCAAAACGACAAAGAGGTAAACACAAGTCAGTTTTCTGCTACTTGGTTCTGCATTGAAAACATATAAAGGCATTCACTTTTGTGAGTTTTGTATAATTTCAGGTAATGGATGTGTTTAACAAGATTTCACAGCTCTTCCCAGGAATGACGGGTTGAAAAAGCACACGTCTTTTCGTTTTATTATCTTATTAGATCATAAAATCTCATGTCTTTCTTTAGCTTTGTAGGACGAAAAACATGTTTTTACTTTATTTATCAAAGATACTTCAGTTTTGCTCAGATCAGAGTATCTACATCTCTCTTATTAATATATCGAAATAGCAGTTTGTTTGCGTTTGGTTTGATACTGACAAAAAGAGCACAAAATAAAATTGGTTAATTAATGGAAATAAGACCAAAAACGAAGTGTCAACAGCTTCGTAAATGATTTCTTATATGATAAAAACCCGCAGATTTCTTCTTCAGACTTTTATTATAATTATAAATCCTTCTTTGTCCAATCCGTAGGTGGAATCAGATCAAAGATCACGGGACAAGTCACTTATCGATGATAGATCGCGAGAGGAATGCTGTCTCGATGACGAGTACGATCAACGGTTACTTTGGGGCTTTGATGCTGTCTCCGAGCACAGGAATCGTCCTGAACAACGAAATGGACGATTTCTCAATCCCTATGAGATCCATGGGTAACCAAACTGTGCCGCCACCGGCACCGGCTAACTTCATCCGTCCAGGGAAACGACCGTTGTCCTCCATGACCCCAACCATTGTACTCCAGGTAAGGACAAACTTTAATACTTGTGACACACGAAAGTTTTGATTGGCTTTCAATGGCGGTTGTATATGCATTTTTTTATGACAGCATGGTATAGTGAAAGCTGCCGTTGGTGCAAGCGGAGGGGTGAACATTATTGCCGGGACAATCGAAGTTTATTTGAATTATTTTTTCCTCAAGAGGGATCCTCTTTCTGCTGTCTTGGCTCCAAGAATCTACCATAAGGTTCTTTGCTTTCTTTTTGTTTCTTCTGCCCAACATAGAAAAACTGTCTTCTTCTTTCTTGCTCTACACTCGTACCTGAGAAATGGTTTTTGTAAATTTTCAGCTGATACCGAACATAGTCTCGCATGAAAATTGGACGACAGTGTTCAGCGATCATTTCGAGGTTCCTAAAGAGACAAGAGTTGTGCTGGAGAATAAGGGTCATGTCCTAATGCCGATCCCTGGAGGGACGATTGCTCAGTTCGTAGTTCAAGAATTTAGTGCAAATTCAGGTGGAATGGGTGAGCTTGTGGCGGTAAGTGATCCAAGGAAAGGAGGGTTCCCTTCAGGATATTGACATCAGTATTAACATCGGTCTTTGAACTTGTTATTTTCGTAGGCGAGATATTTACTAGTTAATCTAATGTGTATGGGTTGCTGTAAGATTACTTCAGAACTTCAAATCAAGCAACCTCGTATTTAATGATTTCATGTATGCCCGTCTTTAGAAAAATACAGATGTTTATGATTTGGATTGACTAAAGGTTCGTGCACTCTTTGCATGAAAGTCCTAACTAGTTTCCAAATTATCTTTCTATAATGCAACAATTATGGTAGTATTTGGCCAAAAATGACACTTTTAGATATATTTCTATTTACTGTAAACATTTCCATATAATTGAAAATATACATTCCAATAGTCTCCTACTCTCCTTTTTGGTTGAATTCACATATTTTATTTTTGTTTTAGAGTAATATCTCGGCGGCAATCAAATCAAAGGATGCGATTGTAATAACATGCCAATCATGATCTGTTACGATGATTAAATAAATTTAGTTTCAATTAGCTCAAGATACTATTCCAATTATCGATGTGGTAGTTTAGGAAACTTCTCCTTCTTTTTCTCGTATATGTATCCATGGTGTATGCACCTTTTTATATATTTTTTTTTGTTTTCTCGAATTAAACTTTTTTCAAGGAAAAGGAAAAGACTTCAAATAAGAAAATGGCATCAAACAAAGTTGCTTTCTTCTTGATTCTTTGCTTATGTGTTCTCTCAACCGCAGGTAACAAATTTCCTGACATTGTATATTCCTCGAAATTAATTACTTTTATCTGGAATATTTATAATATACATTACTTATCCTAAAGTTGATGTGTTCGCCTGATTCATAAGAAAATATCATTTCTTATTTTTATTTTTTTAGATAATAAAACCGTTTAATAATTCCTTCTAACATAAATTGATAAGAGTTTGGAGAAGCACAAATCCCAACGGGAATAAAATGCCAAGATCCAAACGGCAAGGACATAAAATCGGAGTGTCTAATCTACTGTACAGATGTTGGTTATCTCGGTGGTAATTGCCAAGGCTACAAAAATCATTATATGTGTGAGTGTTATGAAGGATAACAAATATAACACTGATTTCAATTCCAACTCATATAAATGTTAAATGTATCTCTTCTCCTGGATACTTGTTAATTATCGTCAATTTCTTATCATCATATAAAGAACAATTGGTGGGATTCATGAAACCATGTGGAGCATAAAAGCGCCTACACATGTGTTGATTTACGAGTTCAAGCGTCAGCATTAAGATTAATCAATCTAGTGAATAAAAACTTTACAATAACGAACGAAACAAATTTGGCTTTGACATGTGTAAGATTTAGATATCTCCCTAAGAGAAAATATAAAGATTGCGAAAGCAAAAGATATAGTTGTATTGAATTTAGCTGGAGTTCGAAGAGTACAAGAGATTTAGGTCGTCGGAAAAGAACGCCGACCTAAGTTTTAAGAGTAAAGAACCAAGATCTAGAACTGGAAGCAGTAAGCTATTATTTGCCCTAGGTCTCGAGTCGGAAGTTGTGAATGAATCGTCTTCGAGGGAGGGGGCTCTTCTTATATAGCCTTCGTAGACCGTCTTGAGAATAATCCTTCTCCTTCGGGATTAGGATAGTTTCCTTTCTTCTCGGGGTCTTCTTTCCTTTTCTTCCGCGATATGAATATATCTTCAGATATTTCCATATTTGAGCGCTGACCTAGACTCGGAAATGGAGGTAGGGCTTCAAATGGGCCTTGTCTCAATTTATGAAGGGCTTTTAGCAAAAGGTGCTAAACCCATCACTAACAATTAGTCCCCCCCCTCCCCAGTTCGACGATCTGAGTAACAAGTTAGGAGAACATGAGAAAAAGACAGCTCGGTATAAATTGAGATCGGGGCATTTCGAAGCACAGGGTGCTCGAAAGCTACGTCAATCTACACGAGTTCCCGGTTGGTACGATTCAAGGACGGGATTTAAACCGTGTCAGAGGTCGGGACCGCATATACGACTGATTACATCGCAAGTCAGGTTGCTAATCAGGTCGGGTCTTATTTTAGGTCGGGTTCGTAAACCGCTTTTATTGAGCCGGAAACTCTTCGTCTTCTGGGACGTGACACGTGTCGACTCCTCGAATATATTTAAGCACGGGAAATATGAACCGTCGTAATGATTACGGTTCTCTCGAAAACCGTTTTCGAATTTGTATAAAAAGGGAGTGAGGGTTTTCATTTCTTCATTTCTTCTTCTCGCGAAAATCTCCAAATCAGGTTCGTTCTCCCTTCTCTCTTATTTCTCTCTCTAGAATTTTATTCTGCAGATCTAGGTCCTAGGATAGATCGGGCGTCTGTAGAAGACCGTACAGCTAGTAGAAGCTCGTGCTATCGTTTATTTAGGTCGGGATTATCTAAGCAAAGATGAATCGCCGCAATTCATCGAAAGGGAAGGAAGTGGTCTCCTCGCCGGTTGAATCGGCGGGCAGTATTAGCTCGGGATCGGATAAGTCCGGGCGAATGTTTGCTCGAGCGATGGGAATAAATTATGAAGACATGATCAGGGATCAACAGAAACAGGCGGCATTGCGATTCGAGGAAGGTCAGCTAGGAATCGTAGCTCGGGGGGATGCCGAGCCGTCTTCGATACGAGTTCCTATAGAGGTACCCGAGCTGAGAGACGAATCAGATGACGTCGGAAGTGCCACCAACGTGTCTGATCGGGATGACGGCGCTGAGGACGGTGCCAATGCTCTGGCCGATCAAGACGAGGCCGAAGTGAAGGACGAGCCTGTTAGCCTTGGCGCTTCAGAAGAGTCGTGGGAGAACGGGATTCTCGATAAATATACCCCAGCTTCATTCAAGTATTTGAGGCTGTCCAAGAAAAATGCTCTGAAGCCGGACAACGCCTTTGGCATAATTCAGTCCCGCACTACGTGGAAGTCGCTGACTATGCTGAAAGAAATGTGCAGGATCGGGCCCGAGGTCAAATTTATGGTCCCGAGTCCCGAGCAGAGGCCCTGGGATGCTCCGCCGGGCTACATTTGTCTGTTCGAGCACTTTTTTCTCTACGCTCATCTGTGGTTTCCACTGCCCCGGATTCTTCTGGAATATTGTGCGAGGAGGGGAATGCCGATCTCGCAGACCACGCATGCCTGCATTCGTCATGTGGTTAGTTTGACGGTCCTCGCTCAGGAGCACAAGCTGCCGTTTTCCACCGATATCTTTGAAGAGATGACTGATATTAAGTCTCAGGGTGGGAACACTCAGAACCGGGGTTCGTTCTATGTTAGTATGAAGAAGAAGCTGAACATAGTCACTGAGAAGTCGTCGAAGAAGATCGACGGCTGGCGGGATTGTTATTTCTCTGTGAAGATCGACGAGAATACCGTAGTTGATACGGACGTCCTGATCTTGACTAGATGGGCCGATGTGATCGGTAGCTAGCCGATCTTTAGCTGTAGAGTGCGTTTACTTAATCCCGTACAGACCTTGGTTTTTGTTTTGCAGCGGCGTCGGCAACTCCGATCAAACCTCCTGCAAAAGATTTCTTCGAGCACAGGAACACTTTCCAGAGATTAAGTCACGAGACTTGGCCGCAGTTTACCATCAAAAGAGTTTCGAGAGCAACAGGTAAATAGGTTAAATTGCGTCCCGTTCTTAAGGAATATTTCTGGGCTAACGATTCTGCTGTCAGGTCGTCTTTGTCGAAAGCCAAGGAAAATGCCGATTAAGCCAAGGAAGACGAGGGACTATGCCAAAGAACTCGAGGAGTCCCTACTGGCTGCGAGTGGGAAAGATGTTGAGCATAGGTCGGGTGAAACCCTTACCTCGGATGGGAACAATCCCTTGGTCGACTCGACCCGGGCTAATGCTCTTCCGGCAGGAGTCCCGGACTCAGGAGCCAAGGTCCAGAGCAGTGTCGATACCATCCCCGGTGACGCTCAAGGTGCGGCCACTGCTAAGAATACTCTGAAGCTGAAGAGGGCCGAGAAAAAGGCGAAGGCTAAAGATGCGACCCGTGTTGAAGAGGGGTCCCGTGCTAAGGTTAGCCCGGATGTTAATCCGACAAATGCCGAGCACGTCGAGACTAGGATAGCGGGTAAGGATACCGTGCTCCCCGAACCAGTTGCTACGGACCCCATCGTTGAACCAACTGCCAAGAGGCAAAGGGCCAATTCTTGCCCGAGCAAGTATGCCTTCAACTTCGAGTACCGGGGCAAGGGGCCAATCCATATGGATGAGATGTCTAGTGCTCGCATAGCGTGGGAAATAAAGGGTCTGCCCCTCCCGTCCTGTGAGATGGATGAGCTGTTCTACAAGGACGACTTTGTCCGAATGGCTTCAGCACAAACCAGGATAAGTTGTTATCTCTCTCGTACCCGGGCTTCCGTAGTTTTTCTTGTGCTGACAGTTGTTACCGTTCTGTTTCAGGCCGAGAATCTCTCTACTGCGGCAGTTGAGAGGTATGACCGTGCTCTGAAAAGAGCTTTGAAAAAGTGAAGAAGCTAGAAGCCGCTGTCAAGGCTAAGGAAGAGGAACTAGCCGTGATGAAGGCCGAGGTCGACACTTGCGACATTCTTCTAAGATCCAAGGACGAAAGGATCTAGTCCCTTACTGCCGAGTTGGCTACGGTCTTGAAGAAGTTCGATGCTGAGAGGGAGCTTCTTATCAAAACCCAGAATGACTGGGCATCTCATGTCCGATCATCGGTGTCTTCCCACTATGTCAAGCTAATCCGGAAGACACGGGCGTATATAGGCCAACGCGAGGAGATAGACACGAACGTGACCTCCCGCGCTCAACTAGAAGGACAGCTTGACGCTATCAAGGTTTTTGAGCAGAGCGGTTTTAAGTGCCCGCCATCGGTAATTGCAAAGATAGAGTCTGACCTGGAAGGATTGAAGGCGGAGGCCGAGCTATATGACGAGATCGAGCTTACTGATGACGATTTTGAGGTACCCGACCAAGCGTTGGTGTTTCTGCGGGATCATCCTTCGGTTGTTCTTCTCGGAGATGAGCATGGGTCGAACAGGGGCAGGCTAACTCCGGAGGTTATCGAGCAGCTTAAAGACGTACCCATTTTGGAAGGCGTGCAGCATCTGGCGCTCGTCGAGGCGTCCACCGGACAAGATGCTAGTCTTGGTCTTGGTGGCGCTTCTGATGTGATCGGGGAAAAGGAAGATAATGAAGGTCGTGCTGAATCAAAGGAAGGGGACCGTGGTGAAGCCGAGGATGGGGAGATCAAGTATCATGAAGAGTGATTTGTGTCGCGGGGTTGTTTGTCCCCCTTTCTTTGTACCCGTGCTTCAAGATGTTTTTTAAATATAATGTACCCTTGCTAGGGATTTTAATATCGTGCACTTGTACTAGATTTTATTCATGAATGGAATTTTCCCGTGCCGGGCTTTATAACTGCGTGTGATAGTAGTGCGGGGTTGGTCCCGGCTTTTAAACTTAGTTCAAATATGAGCGTGCGAACGAAAATTGGCTTACATTGCATCATACGACTATATTCATAAGTTCGAGTATTAACATGCGAACAGGTCGGCGTATCTTGTTAATACGACTTAGAATTTTCTAGATTCGAATGAGGTGCGAGTCTGGACCCGGCTTACTCCATACACGACCTAGAAAGTGCGAGTCTGGGCTCGGCTTTAAAGATTCCCGGGTTAAGTGGAACACACTTTTCCCTTAGATCTTTTAGGTGGTTTCCACCATATTGTTCAAAGAGAAACGCGCGCAAGATTAGACTTGGCTTTGGTTATTGCCGAGTTAAGTTGATCAGACTTAACTGTAGGCGTTATCGAATGTCTGGCCAGGACACCGAGGTATAGTAAAGCTCGGAAGCGATAGTATAGTAGTAAAGCACGGAGCTCGGGAACACGAGAATTTAAGTAAAATATGAAAATTTTATTAAGTTATAGCTGGACCTTTGCAGGCTGCCTACGTACCCAAAATAGGATCAAGCCATTCGTAGTTCATATTACATAAGAGGTAACTAGCTCGGTAAGAGGTCCTTTTTTATTTTGGTTTTTTTATTTTTGTTTTTTTTTGTGGCGTAGCCCGGGGGCGTTCTAGCTGTAGTAGCGCT